GACAGAAACTGTATTGAGAGTAGGAAAGATTGGAAGTAGGTTTGTGGGGGGCACTGTGGGGAGAGAAAAAATAAATGAAGAAATGAGAAAGGCAAAAACAAAAAGCTGCTGCCCAGCTCTTTATTCTGCTAGGAGCAGAAAGACAACTAGACAGGGATGTTCATCTGCAGAAAAGCCCTCCACTTGGGTGGCACCGTCCTGGCACCTCCTTCCTGAGGGTAGCGTCACCAACCCAGATGATTCCCCAGACAGCAAGCCCTGCACATCTTGAAGCCTCCAGGACTCAGCCTCCACCTGACCTAGGCAGTACCCAGGAGGAGTTGAGCTCTGTGCTCTGAAAGTATTGATTCTCAGGGCATCCCCTGCTTTTGGTCTCAAGGTGCCATCCTGCACCTCAGAGCTCTCCAAACTAGACCTCGCTGTGCAGTATTAATGACTGCAGTGCCAAGTATTAGTGCATGTCTGCAAACCGCAGTGGCTTCTGTTTGGGTTTCCTCTCTTCCAAACTCCTGTCCCCGCCAACAGACTTATGCCCAATGATCTGCACTTAGGGGCATAAGAGAGCTTCTGGGCCCCTGTACTTGATGGCCATCCCCATCCTCACCCTCAGGCCTGGACCAGTGGCGCAGGGGCAGGAGAGTGAGGGAGCAGGGAGACTCGAAATGCCGGTGGTCAGGTGACTGAAGCAAACCAGGGCCGCCCCCAGCCCCGCCCCTCTGGAGGTGAGGGTGGGGAGGCGCCAGCCAGGCCAGCTCTTCCCTGAGCCGCTGGGGGAGCTGTGGCTTTGTTTACCTTAAGAAGGGAAGGGGGAAAAGGAAGGAAAATAAAGTGGGAGCTGCACAGCCTCTGAGGGAAAATGAGCAAGCAGACGGGTAGGGAGGGCCCCTCCTCGGAGACACCTAATTCCTCGAGGTACCTGGGAAAGGCAGTGGGTAGGGATGAAAGAAACTCTAGGTCCAGGGAGTGCCAGAGGAAATGGAAACCATTTCACAGAGAAGATACCCAGGCAGGGAGGGGGTGAGTAAAAGGAAATTAAATCTAGTGGTAGACACAGAACCATCCTCTCAGCTGAGCTGAGTAGGGCAGCAGAGGCCAGGATGGAGGGAGAGGGCTGAACAAAGGAGGGGGCCTTTGTCCCACTCCAGGGGAAGCCAGCGAGGAGCGAGCTTTCAGGACTGGGACTGGGTCCCTTGGCGGTGATCCTTTCCTGTCAGGCTCGCTCTTCCCAAATTGGAAGTGGGGGATTGCACAGCATCCAGGAACCCAAAGCCTGAATGATGGTGGGACCCCCTTCCTCTGATACCTCCTCCACCATCCATGTGTGCCCCCAGGTGTACTGCTGTCCATACTGCAGCTTCCTGAGCCCAGAGTCTGATCAGGTGAGGGCTCACACAGTCTCCCAGCATGCAGTGCAGCCCAAGTACAGGTGCCCGCTGTGCCAGGAGCAGCTGGTGGGCCGGCCTGCCCTGCACTTCCATCTCAGCCACCTTCACAACGTGGTGCCCGAGTGTGTGGAGAAGCTGCTGCTGGTGGTGAGTACAGGCTGGTGAGCACCCGTCAGCCAGGCAGACGGGGAGGGAAGGCAGGGATATCCTGGCAAGTGTATGTGTTGGGGGGAGGGTTTTGGTGAAGGAGGCCATATTTGAAGGTAGATTTTAGGATTGGAGGGAACATCACAGCTGAGCTGCCTCTCCTCACCAGTGAAAGCATTTCTTTCACTCTGTTCAGCAGCAGGGACAGGCTGCCAGACAGGAGAGGTGGTGGCCCAGGCCCTCCCTCTCCTCTGGGGGAAAAACCATTCAGTGGGAGGTTTGTCCGAGGAGGCTGGAGCCACAGTGAGGGCGGCGGCACAGGTGCAGAGCACAGAGTCAGGAGGAGCAGGGGCAATGGGCGGGGAGTCACTGGGGTTTCTTCCCTTACAGGCCACAACTGTAGAGATGACCTTCACGACCAAAGTGCTGCCAGCACCCAGGCTAAGCCCTCTGGGGGATGGCCCAGAGCCTCCCACTCCCCAGTCAGAGCCTGCATCCAGCAGAGATCAGGCCTCAGGTAAGGAAGGGGATGGCTGGCCTCTCAAAGTGGCAGGAAAGGGGCCTGAGCTTCAAGGACCAGAAGGCCTGACTAAGGCTAGGGTCAGCCTAGATGTTGAGTGGGTGGGTTCTGCCTTTGGCAGAGTTCTCTCTTCATTGCACCCCTTCTTTCTCCCCTAGAAGGCTCTCACCTGACCCCAGAAGCCAGCCCCAGTCCTCTTCCTGAGCTTCCCCCACCCTCAGCCGAGGCCTCAGATAAACCCACGGGAAGCCCCAACCAACCTCCTTCTCCAGCCCCATCTCCAGCCCCTCAGCCTGATGCCCAAGCTGAAGAAATGGCTCCTCCCCCAACCATGGCTGAGGAGGACGAGGGACCCACTGGGGAGCCCCGCCCTGCAGAGCCAGCTCCAGCCGACTCTCGCCACCCTCTGACCTATCGGAAGACCACCAACTTCGCCCTGGACAAGTTTCTCGACCCCGCCCGGCCCTACAAGTGCACTGTGTGTAAGGAGTCCTTCACACAGAAGAATATCCTCCTGGTCCATTACAATTCCGTCTCCCACCTGCACAAGATGAAGAAGGCTGCCATTGACCCCTCTGGCCCCGCCCGGGGGGAGGCTGGCGCCACGCCCGCCGCCACTGCGGCCACAGACAAGCCCTTCAAGTGCACGGTCTGCCGCGTCTCCTACAACCAGAGCTCCACCCTGGAGATCCACATGCGCTCAGTTCTGCACCAGACTCGCTCACGGGGGGCCAAGGCCGATGCCAAAGCTGAGGGACCAGAGCGCAGTCAAGAAGATCCCAAGGAGGGCGAGACCGAGGGGGAGGTGGGCACAGAAAAGAAGGGCCCTGACCCTGGTGGCTTCATATCTGGATTGCCCTTCCTGTCCCCTCCCCCACCTCCTCTGGACTTGCACCGATTCCCAGCCCCTCTCTTCACCCCACCAGTCCTGCCGCCCTTCCCTCTCGTGCCCGAATCTCTGCTTAAGCTCCAGCAGCAGCAGCTGCTCCTGCCCTTCTACCTCCATGACCTCAAGGTGGGGCCCAAGCTGGCACTGGCTGGGCCTGCGCCCCTGTTGTCCCTGCCAGCTGCCACCCCACCTCCCCCACCTCCACCCCCGAAGTCTGAGCTGGCTGAGCGGGAATGGGAGCCCCCTATGGCGGAAGAGGGGAATGAGGCAGGCCCCACCTCACCCCCTCACCCTTCGCCCAATGAGGCAGCCCGCACTGCAGCCAAAGCCCTTCTAGAAAACTTTGGCTTTGAGCTGGTGATTCAGTACAATGAAGGGAAGCAGGCTGCGCCCCCTCCCCCAACACCACCCCCACCAGAGGCACTGGGGGGTGGGGACAAGCTGGCCTGTGGGGCCTGTGGAAAACTCTTCTCCAATATGCTTATCCTTAAGACCCACGAGGAGCACGTCCACCGTCGCTTTCTGCCCTTTGAGGCCCTGAGTCGGTATGCAGCTCAGTTTCGAAAGAGCTATGACAGCCTATACCCACCCCCTGCAGAGCCTCCCAAGCCTCCTGATGGGGCTTTGGATTCACCTGCTCCCCAACTGGGCCCACCATTCCTGGTCCCAGAACCTGAGGCAGGGGGCGCCCACACCCCTGAGGAGCGAAGCCGGGCAGGAGGACGCTGGCCCCCAGAGGAGGAAGAAAGCTCCAGAGGGAACCTCACTCCCCTAGTGCCTGCAGGCCGTCGATTCTCCAGAACCAAGTTCACAGAGTTCCAGACCCAAGCCCTGCAGTCTTTCTTTGAGACCAGTGCCTACCCCAAGGACGGAGAGGTGGAGCGGCTTGCAAACCTCTTGGGCTTGGCTAGTCGTGTGGTGGTGGTATGGTTCCAGAATGCCCGCCAGAAAGCTCGCAAAAATGCCAGTGAGGGTGGGCCTGTACCAACTGGAGGCGGTGCTGGGGGCACCTCAGGCTGCAGGCGCTGCCATGCCACCTTCTCCTGTGTTTTCGAGCTGGTGCGGCACCTCAAGAAATGCTATGATGACCAGCCTCCGGAAGAGGAAGAGGAAGAGGCCGAGAGAGGGGATGAGGAGGAAGAGGTGGAAGAGGAAGATGTAGAGGAAGAACAGGGCCTGGAACCCCCAGTGGGGGCTGGGGCACCATCACCAGAACCTCCAGACCGGGAAGAGCCAAGCCAAGCAGAGGCCACAAAGCCAGGAGGCAAAGAACCTGAAGGGAGGGCCCCTACCTCGCCTTCCGCCACCCACACCTGTGACCAGTGCACCTCGTCTTTCCCCAGCCAGGACCTCCTGACCAGTCACCGTCGGCTACATTTCCTGCCTGCAGTACAGCCCAGCACTGCCCCCCACCTCCTAGATCTGCCCTTGCTGGTGTTCGGGGAGCGAAACCCCCTGGTGGCAGGCACTCCACCAGTGCCAGGGCCACCCCTCAAAAGGAAGCATGAAGAGGGTAGCCTGTCCCCCACCGGCAGTGAAGCAGGGGGCGGAGGGGAGGGCGAGCCCCCCAGGGACAAGCGCCTTCGCACCACCATCCTGCCGGAGCAGCTCGAGGTCCTGTACCGCTGGTACATGCAGGACTCCAACCCCACACGCAAGATGCTGGACTGCATCTCCGAGGAGGTGGGGCTCAAAAAGCGAGTGGTGCAGGTCTGGTTCCAGAATACTAGGGCCAGGGAGAGGAAAGGCCAGTTCCGAAGCACCCCTGGGGGAGTGCCCAATCCAGCCGTCAAGCCCCCTGTCACACCCACCCCTGCACCCTTCCCCAAGTTCAACCTCTTGTTGGGGAAGGTGGAGGATGGGATTGGGAGGGAGGCCCCAAAGAGGGAGGCACCCGCTTTTCCCTACCCCACTGTCACCCCTGCTACCACTCCTCTGCCTTTCCCACCACCTGGGAAAGAGGCCGCCACCCCAACTCCAGAGCCACCTCTACCTCTCCCACCACCCCCTCCACCCAATGAGGATGAGGGCTCAGAGGAACCCTCTAAAGCCTCTCCAGAGAGTGAGGCTTGCAGTCCATCTGCAGGAGATTTAAGCGATTCGTCTGCTTCCAGCCTGGCTGAACCAGAGTCCCCTGGGGCTGGAGGGATTGGTGGGGGACAAGGAGGTGGGGCTGGGGTTCCAGATGGAGTAGGGCAGCGGCGCTATAGGACCCAGATGAGCAGCCTGCAGCTGAAGATCATGAAAGCCTGCTATGAAGCCTACCGCACCCCAACCATGCAAGAGTGCGAGGTGCTGGGAGAGGAGATTGGGCTGCCCAAGAGAGTCATCCAGGTCTGGTTCCAGAATGCTCGTGCCAAGGAAAAGAAGGCCAAACTGCAGGGGGCAGCAGTTGGTGGGTCTGGGGGCAGCAGTGAGGGCCCCTTGGGAGCCCAGCGCACTGACTGCCCCTACTGTGATGTCAAGTATGATTTCTATGTCTCCTGCCGAGGCCATCTCTTTTCCCGCCAGCACCTGGCCAAGCTCAAGGAGGCTGTCCGAGCCCAGCTGAAGAGTGAAAGCAAGTGCTACGACCTGGCCCCAGCCCCGGCCCCTGAGGCACCCCTGGCTCCCAAGGCCCCACCTGTCACCACACCTGCCTCGATGCCCCTGGGGACGGCCCCGGCCCTGCCTCGCCTGGCCCCGGTCCTCTTGCCAGGCCCAGCTCTGGCCCAGCCACCACTGGGCAGCTTAGCTCCTTTCAGTTCAGGTGAGTGGGGAGGCTGGGGGAGCGGGACTGTGGAGAACATCTCCCTCTAGTAACATGCGCTTACTTTTCCTTCTTGACTTCCACCTCCAGTCTCCTCCTGTGGCCTTCCTTTGTTTCAGGCTCTTGGGAGAGAAGGGAAGGAAGGAAGCATGCAGGTTAGGTGGGGGAATGGGTGAGTGTGGCTAGAGGTGCCTAATCCTTAATCACTTTTCATCTTCTTAGGCCCTTCAGCCTCCTCCGGCCTCCTGGGCCTCACCACTTCGGTCCTGCCTGCCACCACAGTGGTCCAGACTGCTGGCCCAGGCTGCCCCTTACCTCAGAGACCTGTGCCAGACCAAACCAACACCTCCACAGCAGGCACCACTGACCCTGTCCCGGGCCCTCCTACTGAGCCCTGTGGGGACAAGGTCTCTGGTGAGCGAAAGCCAGTTGCAGCCCCTGCCAACCCCTCCACTGATGCCCTCAAGAACCTCAAAGCATTGAAGGCCACTGTCCCAGCCCTGTTGGGGGGGCAATTTCTACCCTTCCCATTGCCCCCTACAGGGGGGGCCACACAGCCGGCTGTCTTTGGCCCCCAGTTACAGGGGGCCTACTTCCAACAGCTCTACGGCATGAAGAAGGGGCTATTTCCCATGAACCCCGTGATACCTCAGACCCTCATCGGACTGCTCCCCAATGCCCTCCTCCAGCCACCGCCCCAGCCCCCTGAGCCCACAGCCACAGCACCCCCAAAGCCTCCTGAACTGCCTGCTTCAGGGGAGGGGGAGGCCGGGGAGGCCGATGAGCTGCTGACGGGCAGCACTGGCATCTCCACCGTGGATGTGACCCATCGCTACCTGTGCCGCCAGTGCAAGATGGCATTTGACGGGGAGGCCCCGGCCACTGCCCACCAGAGATCCTTCTGCTTCTTTGGGAGGGGCTCTGGGGGCTCCATGCCCCCCCCACTGCGGGTGCCCATCTGCACCTACCACTGCCTGGCATGTGAGGTGCTGCTGAGTGGGCGTGAAGCCCTGGCCTCCCACCTGCGCTCCTCGGCCCACAGGCGCAAGGCGGCCCCACCCCCAGGGGGCCCACCCATCACCATCACCAACGCCGCCACTGCTGCCACGGCTGCTGTGGCTTTTGCCAAAGAGGAAGCAAGATTACCTCACACGGACTCCAACCCAAAAACTACTACTACCTCTACACTTCTAGCTTTATAAACAGATAAACCAAGATGGGGGGAGAGGGGAGGGCCTTAAGGCTCCCTCTCTCACTCTAAGGGGTGTCTGGGGGGAGCGCAAATCCCTCACCCCAACCCTTGGCTCTGCCCACCTCACGGGAACCTTTCAATTCCCACCCTCAGTGGGCCTCACACACCCCACCTCCAGCAGAGTCCTGCCTCCTCCCCGCTCCCCAGACACAGATCCTCTTCCAGAGCTCCTTGTGGGCTAGTCCTGTGGCCCACCCTCATGGACACACACCCGCCCCACCATCCCCACTGCCCATTCAAGAGCCCCCCAGCACACCTGAAATGTACCCCAGCTGCATCTTCCTACAACCCTCTCCCCACTGACTTCCCCGTCAGTCCCCAACTCCCGTAAACACACAGACACACGAACACGTTATCTCACGCTGTTCACTGAGAAAACACCAAAAAAAAAAAAAAAAAAAAAAAAGGACGAAGACGGAAAAAGAAAACCCAAGACAAGAAGGGGGAAGGAAAATAAACTGCCACCCCCTTCTCCTTCCTACCCCCTTGTCCAGAGCGCCATACTGCTCACAGACTTTCCAAATACCCAGCTGGCTCCCAAGGTTGGAGCCTGGGATGGGCAGGGAGCCCACAAACTAACCAAACTAGAGGTTGGCATGGGGAGAAGTGCTCCCAGCTCACTATCCCCACCCCACCCCACCCTCTCCTCCCCTAAAGGGAGACCCTGCGGCCTGGACTCAGGGGAAGCCGCCGCCAGGAACCCCTCTGCCAACCCCCACCCTGCACCCTGGGAACTACAGTAACTTATTCTCAAAGGCTTTAAACACAGAGATCCTCTCAGCAGCCGTGGGCCCGCCCCTTGTCCCAGCCCTGCCATGTGGGGGTCCAGCCCCCCCGGGACTGGCGCCGCCCACCAACGGCAAATCCAAAGTTCTTTTAAAAAACTGAAACACACACAACCAAAAAAAAAAAAAAAAAAAAAAAAATCAAGAGCGAGTGCAGGCCGTGCACATTCGCACAGGAGAGAGATGGAGACCAGAGGAATGAACTAAAGAAAAGCATAAACTTGGAAAATACAGAAAACAAACAAAAAAAAAAACCTGAAACTCTCCCATCAAACAAGTGTTTTTTTCCTGTCTGTGTCACTTTCTCCCTCATTTTTAAGGGTCTTTTTAAACCACCTCATCTGGAAGACCAAATGGCCTAGTCCTTGCGTGGGTGCGTGATGCAGGAGATGACCTGAGACAGAGCACAGCAGCCGGCCCCGGCTGCCCTGGCTGCCCAGCCTGGCGGGCGCGAGCTGGTCTGTGGGGAGAAGAGCCTGGAGACTGGGGAGAGACAGCCCTGGCCCCTGATTGAGTATTTATCAGGACAGGTAACACCCCCTCTTTCACAGCAGTCCGAAAAATCAATATTGCTGGAAGTATCTTGGCGGTCCCAGGAGGAACAGGGTGGGGGGTCGGTTGGTTTCTGGATCTGGGATATGCTTCCCTTTCAAGTGGCTGCCATTATATCCTTCACATCTCCCACAAACTGTTTCCCTCTTTAGGGCCCCCTTCACATTTCCGGTCATTTCTTGAACCGCCTCTGCCTTTGCAGGCCTCTTGTTCCCCATCCGTGTTCTCCTGATTCTCTCCTGACTATTCTCCCTGACTCAGGGCACCCCAACAGTCAGGGCCTCCTTAAGCAGAGCTGACAGCTGAGGGGAAGGGTGGGCAAGATGACTGAAGCACAAGGTCAGTCTCTGAGAGGGTGACATCACCAAGGAAACTGAGGAAGAATGCGCTACGAGGGTTCCCCCACCTCTAAGCTAAATGCTTCTGTAAGCATCAGGAGGTAACTGATGTTACCAGCTCAAGTGGCATGGGGAAGGAGCAGGTGGTTTTATTTTTGTTTTAACAAAGCAAAGCTTGCAGTGTTTCCCCTTCTTCTGCTATCCTTGCCCTGGAGGCCTCCCCTTTCAAGGCAATCTGTTTCCTTCCAGTCTCCCCTTCAGACTTCTTATACCATTACCTGTTTAGCATACAAGTCCAGCCAGCCCTGGGCTGATTTCCTGGCCCAGCTGTCCACACTGGCTTACATGCAGGCAAGATGGGAAGGGAGGAGAGGGGAGGGAAAGCTCAGTTCAACCCCTAGTTCTCATGTATTGAGTGACTCTCACTTCTTTTCCCACTCACTTGTAAAATTAAAAACTCCACCTTTAGCCAGTTGGGGATGAGGAGCAATTAGTCACCATAAGGTGAATTCAGGCAAGAGAGAAACTGGCCTGCCATGTGTGGTGTGGTCTTCCTCTTGGCGCCACCTTCCCCCCAACTCTCAACGTCTCCTCCTATGCAGCTCCCTCCTTATCCTTTCCTCTCTCCCGTTGAAATTCTGTGTATGAGACTATTTTCTTAGCAGCATGTGTAAGGGAAGAAGCTTTTTCACTCTCTGCTTTCTAGGAATGTGATGTGTACATAAAAGTTGAAAACAAAAAGTAGGAGAAAGAGGAAACAGTTTAAAAGAAAACTTTGTCAAACAGCTGGCATGAGATGACTAGAGGCATGGTGTCGTGAATCTGAAGGGTTTGCAGCCAGGGGAGGCTGGCTTTGGGTCTAAACAAGCATATCCGCAGAGTTAAGATAGCCAGAACCCTCTCCCCCTGCCCGCCACCCCTTTCTCTTAGGCCTAAATACACCATGTACACTCTGGCAGTAGACAGGAATAATTGCAATTGTCCTTACCTGGGCCCTGTCATTTGGGGGACAAAAGAGCCTGGCTGACTCTGCTGACTTAAGTAAGTCAACATGCTTCTCCTGGGGTACCACCCCATCTTCCCAGGGGGTGGAAGCATTTCTCCCCTGACCTGTCTTAGACCAAAAGTCCTTGGCTGCAGCGCTCCATTCAGAGACAAGCAGTCGGCCTTTCTGCTGGACAGAGGCTGTTGGGCAATCCCACGCAGAACGCTAGAGGTGAAGGCCAAGTCACCCAGGCTGTTATGTTGCTTCTCCTGTGAAGTAATAGATCAGCTGAAGCGCCTGGCACACCGATGCCTATCTTAGGCATCATCCCTGCCCCATCCCCAAAGTGGGCCTGAATCAGTGGTTCATGAGATTGTTCTCCCATGGCCTGGGGCCTAGCATCTCTGACATACACGGGTCTGAGAGCATCCAAATCATGGCCCACCATTCTGGGAGGCAGAAGGTGGAAATGTGCTTTTCTTTAAAGGTGTTTTTCTTTAAAGCAGAGTCTGTGGCTTAAGGTACCCAAACCTCAACTAGAAAGTCTGGAATAGAGAAAATCTGAAAATCGTGGCTAAATGGGGCCGAGTCTGCAATAAGACCATAAAAAGAAGCCAGTTCTTCCCCTGGTCCTCTCGCCTCTGGACTTTACTTACAAATGCAGGCACCAGACCCAAGAAAGCCAGGTATTCCAAGCATAAAAGCACCCACCTGCTCGATTCCTTCTGTGTGTTCCGTAACCACCTTCAAGGCTTACAGACTGGATCTCTTGATTCCCCCAGATCTCCAACACCCTGATCTGTTATTTTAAGACACATTTGCTTATCATTCACCCCTATATAATATGCACCTGAGGTATAGTGCTTTGTGTGTACATCTGCACCAGTGAAATCAGCAAGCATACCATCAGAAACAGCCGACGATGTAGAGAAGGGTTCGTTCAAATGCCAGCAAGGACAGGCCCCTTGGGCACGTAGGCACATGGGCCCCAGCACCTACACTCCTGTAAGCACAAATACCCTCCAGTACACCTACTTTCTTCATACAATAGTAGGTAGGAAAAGTCCATAAACAGTCAGGGGAGATGTAACCTATGTCAGGAAGGGTGACCTATGTTGAACATTAATCCATGGAGGACAGACCTTTAATTCCACGGGAGTGTGACTCTAAGAAGGGGAAAGAAACAGAAATCAGGAGGAACTCTGGGGGAGAACTCTTAAAATACAGGGGTAAACTGGACCAGGACCCTGTGCTAGAGGAGGGGCCAGGTCCTGGGAACATTTCTCTAGGCTGTGATAGGAAGCGCAAACCACCAGTTGGGAGCAACTAAGGAGAAGCTTGTAAGCCAGAAGGATGTCATTTCTAGAGGACTGAAGAAGGAAGAAATGCCCTAGTACCAAGGAAGCTCTTGCTATGGTCCAGTCCCAGGCTCTACAGGGTTACAACTTGGATGTCTTTTGCAAAGGTCAAATGAAAAGCAAGAGAGTAGACATTTGTGGGAGACCTAGACCGTAGCTCATCAAGTTTAGGGAAAGATGGGGCGTGATCCCTAGGGGAAGCCTCACAGGGAGAGGCTACACTTTATGGGAAGAGCCTAGGGCAACCTTCCACATAAAGGACAGACAAGGGGTAACTGGCCTCATTCTCAATCAGTAGCCTGAATCTGGTGTTTCTTAATTCTCCCCAGCCACGGAGAGCCACCTAGCTAGAAGCGAGGTTGATTTTAGGTGGCCAGAAGGAGAGCCACAACCCCAACTGTACATACTTTTACATAAACAATGTCTAAAATGCCAACACAAATATCAGCAGGAGCTTAGCATTGCTCACACCTTCACTGTCCCGAGCCACAAAACCCACATAAACCTGACTGGACCACAGAGAGCAATCTCCTAACTGAGTGGCTTTCAGTGGTGAAGTTTCAGAAGCACATCAGAATCTGGGGGTGAAAGAGTGACTTTTGCAAGTGTTCCCTAAGGGACTCTTCTGTGGTGACCACTGCCAATGAGAAGCACTATTCTAACAAGTTCAATTGCTCGGTCTGAACTTACAGTCTCTCCTTTTTCTTCTCCTGCCCCCACCTTACACACACCTCATGACACATGCACAACAGCATCAAAGACGCGAATACGGTTGGAGAGGAAGAAGAAAGATGCAGAAGGTGTGGGGAATCCAGGCTAGAGCAACCATCCTACAAAGTGACCGGCATCTTGTAGAATGGTGCTTCTCAAAGTTTTGCCCACCTGTGTCACGGTCCCTAAGTGCTTGTTTATAACACACGCTCCGAGATCACATCTCCCATCAACTGAATCAAGAACCCCTCAAGTGGTTCTGAGCTCTGGAATTTCAGCACAAATTCAGACTGCTCAGCCCCTTCCTCAGCTGTGACTGTCCCCGACTCTAGACCCAGGCTCAACCCTGCCCCATCAGGGGCTGCCCCACGGGGCAAGCATCACCGCGGACGGTGTCATCACCATGATAACACCCCCCACTACTCACAGTGCAGAGTCTGTCTTCTGCTGCTGTCCACTCGCCCCTTGGCTGAGTGCCTCCCTGCTCTCTCCTCTGCTAAGGAGCCCACTTGGCTTCCTCCAAAGCCACCATCCCCTCCTGGTGGTGCCGAGGCCAGAAGACAGACCCGAGGCCAGCTGAGCGGTGGCACAACACAGCCATGATTTTGCCTTGCTCTGGACAGGCCCTGTCCCCCATCAGAGCCACCTACTTTCCCCAGAGCAAAATCTACTGGAAGATTTTCCTAGTCACTGACCCACAACTTATGGCTACCCAGGAAAAGCCAACCTGCAAGAAGTTCTTCCAGGTGAAAGTTCAAGGTCCAGTTCTGTGGGACTGCCCATGGCACGGCCTCTGGATGTATCACCACAGTTGCGGGGGATTCTGCTTTGAGGGGCCTTCCTCTACCAGGGCTTGTGGCTGATTCATGATCTCCCTTATAAACATATGGAGACTGACCGACTCCAATTGGGCAGGTACCGAGAAACTCCTAAACACAGTCTCTTGGAATGGTCTTTGTGGATGGACAAGTCCCAGGTGTCTTTGTCTCCCTAACACTTGCCTACCTCTCTAGGCCCACAGTCCTCTCTCTTTCTAGGACTGTTCACGAATATGGCCTTTTGATGAGGGAGAGATGATTGATTCATCTAAACCACAGCTCATTCAACGACAAGGGACAGAATCACAAGGGCAGAATGAAATCCATGCAGGCGCAGACCTCCCATCACCACAGCAGCCAGGGCCCAGGGTCTCTCTTCCTACTTCTTCCCTTCCAATCTCTTCTGGCACCATCTTTGTGACAACATAGCTGACTGGCCTCTCATCTCAGCGCCCCCCGAAATTCTTTTCTACCCTTGCTGCCCAGAGCAGGATACAGTCCACGGACCTGGCTGTGGCTGTGTCTCTGCTCCAGGCTTTCTTGGAATAGCTGCTCAAACACTGAGTGTAGTACCATTTCAGTCCCTTCTTGGGGGCAGCTGAGGGCAGGAGGGAGGTGTTTCCAGTCGGGAGGAAGGTGTCCTCTCCTCCACTCCCTAGCACAGAGCTCCATCCAAAGCCTGGCACTTCTGGGTGCACTGCCCCCTCTCTCAGTGCCGCCAAGTGGCGGTGGTGAGCATGTTCGGTGGCGTGGGGTTTGCCGCAGTGCCAGGATCTGAGACGCTGTTCACGTGCCAGTGCAGCACTGCCAAGCCGGCAGCATCTAGCTGGTTGGGTGCCAAGCAGTAGGACCCAGGTGGTGATAAAAAGATGAAAGAGGGGTAGAGTGGAGGGGGCCTGGAGGAGAAGGCACCAGGGGGAGTTAGAACCTCACTTGTTAGCATGGAGAGTCCAAACAGGACCTGCAGAAAGGGGTCCTTCCCATTCTTGTCCCAGTTCAGCAAGCGAGCCCTCCCCTCCCCCACGCGCCCGCAGTGACATGTACAGACCAGGCAAGAGGGCTTGGCCATCTTCAGCAGCAAACTGGCTGGGGTCCAGGCAGGACTGCCAGCGCTCTCCACCCCTCTTCCTTGGGGTCTTGGCAATGGCGAGCTTCCTCCTTTGTGTCCTCAAGCGTCTCACCGTCTGTCGCTCCATTCCCCATGCCTAAGAGGGAAGGGGAAGGAGGTCCTGGCAGGAAAAAATCTGTTCTCCCAAACAACTCTCACAGGCGCACGCGCGCGTACACACACACACACACACACACACACCCCAACACCTCACGTCCTCCCTTCACACTCTTGGCACAACAACCCTCAACCAGATTGACATGAGGTGCTGCCACCCTCTCCCATTCCATACAATGCCAGAGCCTGTGCCAGGCTCCAGGGGCAGTGCCAGTGCCCATCCGCCTCACCCCGGGTCCCCTCACCCTCCTTCAGTGCCGACAAAGGGTCAGACTACCCACCCGTGAGCTCTCGCCGGGGAGCCATGGCACAATCCTGGCTCCTAGTCACTGACTTGGTACTTCCCTGGCTACGCCTTCTCCCACTTTACTTTCCCCGACGGGAAGAGGACTAGCTACCTCACCGTCCAGCCGTTTCTCAGAACTGAGCCCCAGAGGGACAACAACATCAGCAGACAGCCCTGTCCTCCTCTGCCTCCTCGGGCCCCTGTCCTCACTGCCCCAGCTTGGGGCGCCAGCCGGATGGATGCCATGCCAATAGCTCCTGGGTACCGAGCCTTCCCCCCAGAGCACCAGGGCTCCTGCCGCTGCCCCCTCCCCAGTTGCCTCCTCCCATCTCCGTGGGCACAAGGGTGGCAGCTGCAATGCCAATGCCTGTAAGCAGGCAGCACGAAGAAACTCATGCACCCTCTTCTCCCCTCCCAGGCCACACACCTTTCCACTTCCATCCCTCTGCCCTTCTGGTTGGACACTGGATTGGCAACTGCAATGCCAACCCCCACCCATGCCCAGGAGGCTCACATACAGCACGCGCGTATGCGTACATGTACACGCGCGCACACACATACACACACACACGGCCCCATGAGTGCCAGGCAGCGGTGGCAGACACACAGCAATGCATAGTGACTGGTATACCCGAAGAGGCAGCCAGATTCGGCACCTGATCCAGCACCCGTTTGGGATTGGGTGGGTAGGCAGGCGGGCAGGCGGGCGGAGGGGTGATGGAGGCAGGCGATGGCCCTAGGTTGGCAGCCGATGGAGCTGTGAGAATGGAGGGAACAGATGCTCTTTGCCCAGCCTCCCTCCCTCCCTCTCCGAGATCAGTGCCAAGCTGGGGGGATGGGGAGAGGGGAGGATGGGGGAAGGGTGGCATTTGGAAAGCTGGCAGGCATGGGGGGAGCTGGGTCCGCCCAGGCTGGGCAGTGCCGGCACTGGCTGCCGCCTCTCCACTCTGCCATCTGTCTCGCTTCTCTCCCCACCCCCTTCTCTCTCTTTCTCTCCTTCATCCACAGAAAAACGAAAAGAAGAAAACAGGGTCCTCAACCCGCCTCCCCTCCACCTCTGCCAGACCCCCTCTCTTCCCCACAACTCACCACACCATACCACCACCAAGCCATCTGTGCTCTCTCCTCCTGGCTCGGTCACCTTCTTCCACTCGCCTTCGCACTCACACCAAAACGGGTGCAATGTTTCACAAAATAGATACATCTATATTTTAAAAAGCAACTTAAAACTATTTTCTTTGGGAATGTCCTGTCCTTCTGAACCCGGGTCCTCAGTGCCAACGTTTATGGCAGGCAGAGGAGGGAACCCTGTCCTCAGCTGGTGCCCATGAATCCCATGCCAGGGAGGAGGGGTGGCTGGGGTGGGGTGGGGGTGGGGTGGGGTATCGGGAGAGCTCTCTTCTCTCTGCGCCTGTGGTGGTTTCTTTTTTTTTCTTCTCTTCCACTTCCGGAGCAGATTCAAATAGATCTAGAGTCTTCCCCACCCCCAGTTCCCAGGGCCCCTGTGCCCTTCTCTCCCTGCTTTTGATTTTATTCCTCGATCACCCTTTCCCTTTTTTTGTGTGTGTACGTGTGCGTGCGCGTGAGTGTTTGCATCCATGGCGGTGGGCACCGTGCCAGCCACCGCACAGCCATCTGCGATGCCTTCTGCAGCCTCCGCTATTTCTCCCTGCAACCTCCAGCTCAACTCCCCTGCACCCCAGCTCCCCACCCCCCAATCCCCAATCATTAATTAGCTACTGAATTAATTAAATCGTGAATGCTAATTAACATTCCTACAGGGCAGGCTGCCAGGCTGGGGGTGCCAAGGGGGTGTTAAGAGGAGACTGGGATGGGGGAGGAGGACGGAGAGACTGTCTGCTAAGAACAGGGAGGCGGGCAGGGGGGAAATGGAAAGAACTCAAGAGAAGGTCGGAAGGACGCAGGCGAAAGATGGCAGAGTGATGAGACAGGTATGGAAAATGGGGCGGAAAACGAGTCCAAGTGAGTGCAGCTCAGGTTTTCCTGCCCAAACAAGACATGGCCAATCCCTCGTCCCCAGGCTCTTCTGTGTGTCCTGCCAACATGGAGAGGACTATATTCCTACAGTGGGAGAGTCCAGCAGCTTTTCTCGTGTCTCTTAAAGCGTCAACAAACCAAAAAGAGCCCTCAGGTACTACCTGTCAATCCCGCCACAGTGACCCTCACCAAGAGAAGGGCCACAGAGAGGAGCCTGTGGGCTCAGAGGAGCCTGCTGACTTGCCCTTCTCTGTGCGTCTGTTCACTGTTCCCATGAAGGGGTGTTCTCTGAGAGCCTGCAATGGGACATCGCTATGGGAACAATATGGGGTGTCAATCCAATGGGGTTCAACAGCTAGCGGTTGAATATCACTGGCACCGCCTACAAGGCTGCCCTGGGAAGACCATGCCCAAAGATTGTCTGTGGGGTTCTATGTGGGAAAAGCAGACACCCTCACCCACCTTGAAGTTCAAGAATTTGGAAAAAAAGTAAGAGCCATCTAACTTTGAGTTGTTGTTTTTAAAGAAAGAGACTTCAGTATAATGGAACTGCTTTCAAGAGTGCTCTGAAAAACTAACCTGATGAGATGCTTCTCAAAAAAATGGATTCCATAATCAAATTAGTTTGGAAATACTATGTTTCTCTCTTAGGAGATTCATAATGTATATTGGTGTGTGAAAAGCTCTGAGAAGTCCTGAAAAAAAAAAAAAAAAAAAAAAAACAAAACAAAACTGTTGCATATGTTTAAGCCACTGATTCTCCAGCTCATTAGGTCACAGCACCCTCACTCAGAAACATTCTTGTTTAGTTAATTTGCTTCCCCTAGAAACAGTGTTCCACTTGGGGAAAGAAGTAGGTAATGTCTACTCAAGTGGTCAGGGGTGGTTCCGCCTGACTCAGGTCTCCACGTGCAGGGCCAGCAGTCTCTGAAGCAATTCACATTGCTCTTTAGAATCACAGGCCCAAGCACGCAGAGCTGGAAGGAGACCTTAGCAACCATCAGTCAAGTGCCTTCACTTTAGAATATAAGCAGCTAAGTCTCTAAGAGGTGAAGTGATTTGTCCAAGGTCAAAGCACTGACATCAGAACCAACACTTCCTGACCTCCATCCAGCCTGGTTCTGCCTCTGTCTTTACTTAGGACAGGCCAGCATGTCACACCCACCCTTAAAGAGCCTTGTCCAGACACCTTTCCTGCCGCTGCCTTAAGGCCTGGGCTGGTCTTGTCCACCCCAGCTGCCCCCCAGCCCTTGGCCTTTACCCCACCGTTGAAACCCTGCAGCACTGACTTGCTTCTGGATGGTCTATTCCACTTCCTTGTGGTGGGGATGGAGGCAGGAGTTCGTGTTTTATTTTATTTTTTAAAGATTTATTTATTTTATGCGTACAAGAACTGGGGTATAGGCCAGAGGTGTGGGGGGTGAGTTGATTCACCAGAGACAGTGTATGGAACAGAACAGGCAGACTGACTACTGACTGAAATACACTGCTGAGGGGAGCAACGGGTGAGTCAGGAGAGGTCTGCTGCGCCATGTGGGTTTCTCCCTGGCTGGCTGGGGATTGAACTCATGCTGCAGTGGCTGTGGACAGCTTCATAGGTTGTGTCATAACCCTCTGCGCCACCAGGGAGGCCCAGGAGTTCATGTTTTATAAAATCTCCCAAGTGTTTCCGTATCCTGGATTCAGAACTTCAGTTCTCAGCTATCTCTTCCCTCTTGGCTAGGATGCCCCTGCCTCTATATGCCCTTGGTATGTACCCAGAGCTTCTTTTCCCTTCACAATCTCAATCCCACTCTGTCAGGAGACAAAAAAAATGTTCCCTGGGGGACAGTTTCCGCTCTGTTTCTAGCAACAGTGGCTTTTCCTTTCTCACTTTGTTTTCTGGAGTGCCTGAGGTCACGTAACCTCTCTATCAAGTCCTTATGAGGTTAGACCGCCTTCAGTCTGCAGGGACATAGACCCAGTAGAGTGAGGAGACCCTGGAACAGGCCCCAGAATCAGAAACCTGCCAGGCCCACAGCCTCCTCGAATTTCTACACATCAGTCTTCCTGCCCCAGGGGAGCCCATCTATTCTTTTGAGTAGTTCTTTAGGGAGCAAGAGGATGGTGGAGGCGGCTCAAGACTCGCTCATTTCAAAGGCAGAACATTACCGAACTGTTTTTGCTTTCTGGGTCCTATTGTGGGAACCCATATTCCCTTCACACCTTCTCAGTATACAAACCACCCCCCACCACACACACACAGCTTCACAACAGTGATGACTTCCCAGGATAACTTGCCACAGCACTTTAAAGAAAGAACAGCTTTGAAATACATTTGATTTGCCAAAGAGATTGACATCCAGATTTCCAGGAATGACGAGGTCCCTAGGAACTCTAAATGTCTATGAAGGCGCCAGCAGACTCCATCCCTTCCTTCCTCCCATTTTCCAGACAGGATAGCCCTCAGGCATTGGGCTGACAAGGATATTTCTCAGTGTACCCCACTATGCATGGGCTGTCCCCTCCTCTGGCTGAGCAACCACCTGCTCCAAGAATACAGCGGAGCCAACTACCCATCCTCAGGGCAAGTCCTGCGATGTCCTCACAGGACACATTTCTTTTCCTTTTTTTTTTTTTAAATATTAGGAGATTACTTTTTTTTTTTTTAAAGATTTATTTATTTATACAAGCACTGGGGTACAGGCTAGAGGCACGGGAGGGTGAGAGAATTCACCAGAGACAGAGAAGGGAGCAAAACAGGCAGAAGGACGGAAGTGTACTGCTGAGGGAGCAGTGGGCGAGACAGGAGAGGTCTGCCTCACATGAGGACACAGTTATTAAAACATTTCAGGGCTGCTCTTATCCTTGGGAGGCATCTGCTAAATTATCCCCTTAGTAGTCTGAGAGGCCAGAGTCCAGCTTTCCAGGATCATGGATTCCAACCACACTTACTTTCCCTCCCAGAGCCCATTTTCTCTCTCCAAAATCCAGGCACTGAGCCACTCTCAGTACCAGAGGCACTCAGAGCTGTGATATAAATGATGATATATCATTTATTATCAAATAACATTGCCAAGCCTGGCCAGCTCCCTACAATGGTGACAGCAGAGGAGAGCTACAAAATTCAATATTGATAAACTGTACATTGTGTTCTAGAACCATCACTCTGCCTGACAGCCACTCTGTAAGCCTCCCACCATTAGCAGCAAGGAAGCAGAGAGAGTGGTTAGTGATGGCCCTTGGGGGTGGGAAGACCAGGCAGAGGCAAAACCAAAGGCAGTAAGGAAAGCTTGGGGAAGTCCACCATGCCCACCATTTCTACAGCGCCCAACATTAACAAGTCTATTTGCCTCTTTAGGCTGTGCCCTGCCCTGCCTTTTTGGAGGGTCCATCTCAAATTAAACTGCCCAGAAAAATCTTATACTAGTAAGCAGGAAGTGGAACTGCAGTCTGCTTCCATCTCTACATGCCTTCAGCATGGCCCCTGAGTTTTCTGCATTTTCCTTAGAAAGAAGGGAATAAGGGCCTCCCTGGTGGTGCAAGGGGTTAAGTCTCAGCAGCCACTGCAGCATGAGTTAGATCCCCAGCCAGGGAGCTACCCACATGGCACAGCAGACCTCTCCTGTCGCACCTGCTGCTCCCCTCAGCAGTGTATTTCAGTCCATCCACCTGTTCTGCTTCCCACTCTGTTACTGGTGAATCCTCTCACCCCCTGCCCCCCACCTCTTACATGCATAAATAAATCCTTAAAAAAAAAAAAAGATGGGAATAATATGTCTAAGGTTCTGCAGCTTAGCTCCTATCTTCTAAAGTGACAATCAGGTTTCTTTTAGGTCCTGAACGTTAAAAGCAGCAGAATCCTGGTAGCAGATTCTCTCAGGAAATGATTAAGACCTTGAACACCCCAATGTGCTCCCCACCTCAGGCCTTTGCACTGCCTATTCTCTGTGCCAGTGTGCATTTCCCTAGACAACCGAATGGCCTGCCCTCCTGCTCTTTGCTCGAGGCCTAGTTAACAACCCTATTTAATACTGATACTTGGCCTTCACCCAGTCCCTTTACCCTGTTCTACTTTTTCTTTTTTTCCCAGTATTTATTACCTTCTAACATTCTGTACGATTGACTTAGTAAGTTTATAATTTATTTTCTATTTCTCCCTTCTGGCACGTAAGTTCCACAAAGTTAGGGATCTTTGCCTTGTTCATGAATGTATCCCAAGAACCAATAATAGTGCCGGATAACTAAGAGGTCGCTCAATAAATCTTTGCCAAACGAAGGTAATGCTAGAATGCCTGAGTGTTGTTCAGACCATCTTACTAGTTCCATCATGTGGGGCTGGGGTGGCAGGGAGAGGTAGGTGATCATGTCAGTGCTTTCTAC